GCCTGGGGAGGGCCCAGGAGCTCAGCAGCGAAGCCTCTGTGGAGAGCAATGAGGTGAGCTCCCCCCGCCCCCGATGACACCCCTCTGGGGGGTGCCTGGGCCCCCAAGTGGATGAGCGAGTGTCTGATGAGCTTCTGTGCCGAGCTCGGGAGTCACTGGGCACGCCCGGGCATCGCAGGTGGTGGAAACAGCTCCGTCCGCTCGGCCACATGGGGTGGCGTGGCCGCAGTCTTGGGGGCTTCAAGCTCCCCACCTGCCCCCAGCACACAGCTCTTCTGCAGGATTCGGACCACATCCAGAGAAGCTCTGCTCGCAAACAAACCAAAAGTTATGTGAAGACCAAGAATCGCCATGGCAGCAGTGACGGCCAGTGGCTGCCCAGTCCCGGGGGGGCTGCCCACTCCCCAGGGTCTGCCTCCCGAACAGAGAGGCCCCCCTACTCAGGACCCCAGGTAACAACCTGCTGGCTGCTCACTTGGGGTGCTTGTGCGTGGCTCAGAACAAATGTGGTTTAGATATCAAGTCAGCTTAGCACCGAGGCCTCTGACGGCTGCGTGATCCGTGCATCCTAGGGAGACAGGTCTGCGGCTGACCTGGCCCCAGGAGACAGTGATGGCCCACAGTATCAGAACTGTCAGCTGTGTGTGCCCGGCTCTGCTGTCTCAGAGAGCTGTGGGTTTGCGGGTTCTGCGCCCCCCTCCTGGGTGGCTCATCCTCGGCTTACCTCCGCGCTCCTCACCCATTTTACTAGAAGTTGGGATCTGAGGATGCGGGTGGGGGGGGGGGGGCGGCGGCTGGGGGGGGAGGGGCCCAGCAGTGCCATCGGAGTGCGGTGACAGGCACAGCTGGTGAAGGCATGGAGTCACCCCTCCCACCCAGGACAAGGACAGCTCTGTCAGACACAGCAGTTCCTAAATAGTACTGAGGGAACTGCTCAGCCACTTCCAGAGCCCCCTCTGCAGAGCCAAGAGTTCATGAGGAGCACTGGTATAACACTGGCTCTGGGTGGCATTTTCCCCTTCTCAGCTCTGCCATGTCTTCCGGGCAGGTGGGGCAGCCTGCGGACGGGGTGGTCCTGGAGCGGAACCCTGGCAGGCTGCTTTGCCTTACTGCATCACCCCCCCCCCCCCCCCCCCCCCCCCCGTCGCCTTGCCCGCCAGGACCTGGCTGCGCTGCTGGAGCAGATTGGGTGTCTGAAGTACCTGCAGCTGTTTGAGGAGCAGGACGTGGACCTGCGCATCTTCCTCACACTGACGGAGAGTGACCTCAAGGAGATCGGCATCACGTGAGTTCCGTCCTGAGGGGCCTTGCGCCCCTTCCCAGCCTTCTTCACCTCGGAAGCGCAGAGCTGCCACCCACTTACCACCTAGACCAGCTGCTGAAGGCCCTCAGTTGGTGTCGCTGTGCTGCTGTGGGAGGGCGGGCTCTGGGCCTAAGAATCCTGCACATGATCACTGTCACGAGTGACTATTGTCACCTGATGGCTGTCAGTCTCACTGGAGGCAGAAGAATTTGCAGCACAGATTTCTTATTTAAGAGCTCTATTTCCTGCCTGGGAGCAGGACTTGGTTTCTCTAAAAGTTTTAGGAAGAAAGTCAACATAAAGTCTATCGGTAGTCTAAGCTTTTGTCTTGACGTCACCTGTGCAGTGACGTTTGTGCCCCCACTCCAGTGCGCCACCCACCTTCTGGGCCCTGCAGGGCAGTGCTGGGGCGTCAGCTGCCTACCTTGCCAACCACAAAGAGAGCCCTTCCAGATGAGCTACTGGTTTACAGTGTAGCAGCCCTTGACCTCTGAAGTTCCTAAAGAGAACCTGCTGGTAATTTTATCAAGAATCCCTTATATATGCCACGTTCCTTTGTGGCTGCTTTTGTGGACTCTCTCCATCCACCCCCCCCCCCCCCAAGCGTGCATACTGGCACACTGGTGTCCTCTGTGCCCCTAGGCAGTTCCTCAGACTTGTTTCCCTTGTTTTATCTTCAAGATGGCTGGTTCTGCTTTGCTCTCTCCAACAAGCTTCCTTTGGATTCACTTGTTTCCTCCATTTGACTGATTTGCGTGTCAGTAGTAGGGCTTCAACTCACTCTGATCACTTGAGCTACATCTACTCTCATATTTTGCTGGTTAATTGGAGATGGAAAATGGCTGGCTTTCAACCTCCATCCGTAGGTCTCAGCCTCCTGGGTAGCTACAATTACAGGCGTGCATTACTAGTGCCCCACTCCAGGGGCATCAAGATGGTGGTTTTGGCTCTTGAGACATGGTCTTGCTATGCAGGCCATACTGTCACGGGACTGTGACCCTCCTGACTTTGCGTCCTGAGTGCTGGATTACAAGTGTGTGTGCAAGTTAGCTGTTATGTCAAGTGCTAGCGGGTCTTCCTCAAGTTTTTCCTAAGGACCACGTTCTATTTCTTTCCTTTCTCTGTTATTTAATAAGATTCTTTCCCCTCCTTGGCTTGACTGGTTCTTTGAGCTGCCTTTTAATCAAGGTTAGCCCAGGGTTGAAGGTCTTTTCTAGAACTGTGCCTTTCTCTGGGCAGAAAACATTCTACCCTCAGTCTGCCCTTGTGTTTAATGTGTGGTGCCCACATGGAAGAATGGAGAGAAGGTGCTGTCCTTAAATCCCTGATCCTCCCAGAGAGCGGGCCAGCAACAGCCACTGGTGTTGGGAGGCCTGGGTGGGCTTGGCTAGCGAGGAGACAGATGCATTGTCCATGCATGCCTGGATGAAGATTCACCTTTACCAGTGTCCTAAGGAGGCCTTGGGCTGCCCCAGAAATGCCCTGCAGAGCCGGAGTTTCCTAGTGCTGCCTGTGGTGGCAGGGTGCTCCGCGGCACCCCCCACTCAGGAGGCACACACTGACCCAGACCCTCCGATTCTCCTGCCACGCAGGCTGTTTGGACCCAAAAGGAAGATGACCTCTGCCATTGCCCGCTGGCACAGCAGTGCCCGTCCCCCCAGCGATGCCCTGGAGTTGGCTTATGCCGACCGGCTGGAGGCTGAGATGCAAGAGCTTGCCATCCAGCTGCACAAGGCAAGTGGGGCGGGCGGATATGCGGGTAGGGGCCAAGTAGTACGGCGAGGGCAGCATCCAGAGACACAGGCGTGCAGGGGCGCGGGAAGCGGGGAGGAGAGCCAGCAGCTGTGCGGCACCTGAGTTGGTAGGATAGGGCAAGGAACAAGCGCAGGCTCCCAGCAAACTGGACGAGGGAGAAGGTGGAGGCTGTGCTGCCAGCCCAGGCCGTGGACAGCCACGCGGGCCTCAGCTGCCACCAGCGTGGCCTCTCCAGCCTGGTGTTTCCCCTGCAGCGCTGTGAGGAGGTGGAGGCCATGCGTGGCCAGGTGTCTCAGGAGCAGGAGCTGCGGGCTGTGGTGGAGAGCTGCCTGCTGGAGCAGGATGGCACCCGCAAGGACGTCCACACCCAGCTAGAGGTGACCCAGGCCCTAGCCCGGGATGCCACTCTCATTCTGGACCAGCTGCGGTGAGTGGGCCAGAGCTTCAGGGCAGAGGCACGTGCTGTCGGTGGCCTGGCAGCGTGCCCAGCCTCACTAGCACTTGGTCTCCTGTCTGCCAGAGCCTGTCAAGCCGAGCTGTCAGCCCGAGTGGGGCAGGACCCTCCCGCCCGCACGGCCGCCCCAGGCCCTGCCGCCCCGCCAGCAGGTAAGCAGAGCAGCACCTTGGTGCTGGGCTGGACACAAAGCCCTCAGCAGGCTCAGCCCGTCTTGCTGGCATCCTTGCCTCAGTCCTGAGTGGTCCACAGGGGGAGAGGTGGCTCACTTCACCTGTGGGAAAAGATGTTTTGCCTCTTGGTGAGGGAGGCAAGGCCACCAGAGTTGAGACAAGCCCTGTACTGTGGCTGGGTGGGCAGTGGACCCCATTCCTTCCTGGGCCGGAGACCCGACTAGAAGGTTGTATCTGCGGTCTTCTGGAATGCAGGGAGGGTTTCCTGAGCTTGGTGACTTGGGGAAAGAGCAGAGACCCAAGCCAGGCACATCTCTCTGCACCACAGGCTCGCAAGGCTGGCACGCGTCCCTGTGGGCCTTGAGTCTCCCGGAGCTGCTGGGAGCCCTAGAAGGTGGAGTTGAGGAGATGGGTGAGTGGAGGGGCAGCAGATGGTTTCCTTGGAGGCTGGCCGTGAGACAGGCCCTGTGGGCGCCTCACCTTATCCTGGTTCCTAGTGCCCCAGCCCCTGCTGTCATCAGATCTGCGGCCCAGCACTCACTGCCCACCACATCCTCAGGGCGTGTGCTGGGCTCAGTGACCCAGAGTCTGGAGACGCTGCAGGTGCTCAACGGGAAGGAGAAGTGGCGGGTGCCCTAGCCCGGAAGGAGGGACGGTGAGTGTCCAGCAGCCCACCTGGGATGGCAGCTGTGCCAGGACAGGAGGTTGCAGCAGCAGGGCCTGGGCTGCACACCTCTCACAAAGGCCTTTTTGTTTTCAGAATTGACGTCGGGTGAGCTATCCACCCTGAAGTGAGCCAGGAAGACAGAAGGCGGTGAGCAGGCAGCTGCAGGAGCCCAGATCCTAGAGAGGCCAGGATGGTCCGGGAGGCGTGCGGCAGACAGGGTGGGGCTGTGGCCCAGACCAGGCAGCTCAGGCTAGCACAGAGGCAGGACGAGGGCCTCAAACTCAAGTCCCAGTGGTAAGGCTCTAAGCTTGGGGGCTGCTCTGGCCCAAACCAGGCACGGCCATGGGGAGACCGACAAGAGCGTCCCTAGAAACACAGGTTCCACACCGAGGTTTGACCTTTTATGGGTCTGAGGACTGCGACACCTAGAAAATGTGTCATTTGTTGGAAAATAAAATGAAACACCTACTTGAGAGGGGCCTGGCTGTGGTCCTGAGGCCCAGGCCCAGGCTCCTGTTCCTGTGGGGTCAGTCACCTTGCTTGAGTCCCACAGTTGTGTGAAATCCAACTTGCAATTTGCTTGGAGAACACCTAGGGAACCTCATGAGTACCAGCAGGGCCAGGCCCCGCGCCACCACATGCACACACTGAGCAGCACGGAGGGACTTTATTGTCATCATCCTTCAGTCCCACAGAGCTGGGGCGCAAGGCCCTCCGCCCTGGGGAGGCAAGCCATGTATACAGAGCAGAGCCCCTTTGAAACCTCACCCACAGTTTACACACCATGAACCCAACAACCGAAATCAACAGTACAACCTCCTACCCCAGGCCGGTGCAGGTCCTGGCTGCCTCGGGAAGGATTTGGGAATGAGCTGAGCATGGCCTCCTAGACAGCCCGGGGGATGCAAGCGTCCGGGACCCCCCCCCACCAACCTGAGCAGGCAGCTGGCCCCAGAGGCCGCGCATCCAGCTCAGTCGAGACGGGGGTGCAAAAACAGGCTAGAAGGCACACTTCACAGGAATTCCAGGGCCCATGGGCACAAACGCAGCCTGGGGGTAGGTGAGGGTGGCTGAGGACCTCAGGAGGAAGCAGGGAGCAGCTTCTCCAGGGCCTTTTTCTGCTTCTCTGTGGCTGCGGCCACAGCCTCAGCCAGCTTCTCTGCGGGCATCATGTTGAGCGCCTTGAGGGCAAACAGGAGCTGGTACTTGGCAGTGCTAACGAAGGCGTTGCTCAGAAAGTTGGGGAAGCCTCCGACCCGGTCCTTCTGCGTGTACAGGGGGACTCGTACGAGGCCCAGCACCTGCACGACACAAGGCCAGAGTTGGGGCCACCGTCGATGCGGAGGGACAGCCAGAGAAGGGGAGGTGCGGGCAGGGGCTTCCGGCCGTGGGCCGCTCGGAGCAGGGCACCCCATCTCCCAGGCAGGTTTCCAGGCTCACCCATGCACACTCCGCCCTAAGCTCCCCGAGCCCTCGGGGGTACCGGGCTCGAAACCTCCCCTCCCCCCCCCCCCAGCCGTGGCCCGAGGAGACCCCTTCCCGCTCCTTCCCGCCTCGGGCTCCGCTCCCCATCCCGCCCTCCCGCCAGTCCCACTCCCCACTCCCAGGATTGGCAATGGCAGGCAGCAAGGCAGACGTAACACATCCCTGAGGGCGCCCCGGTGCCACCCGTCCCCCCCGAGGACCCTCAGGGGGACGTGTTACCCTTCGGTGCCTTCTGCAGCGCCAGAGCCAAACCCCGGGGCGGGGGGCGGGGCCCGGGCGGCGGCCCCACCTCCAGGCCGTGGTCGCGGGAGTGCACGGCGCTGATCTCCACGGCGTGCAGCTGCTCGAGCGTCAGCTGCCGCGCGTACAGGTGCGCCACGACGCGGTGCGGGCCCTCCGTCAGGTGCGAGCTCAGGTAGTCGGCCTTGGTGAGGCGCAGGCCGCCCAGGCCCAGGCCCAGCACCCAGTTCAGCCCGTCCTCCAGCGACCAGAGGCGGCGGTCCACGAAGCCCCCCGGGAAGCCCAGCAGCCCGTCGAAGCGCATCTGCATCTGCAAGGGAGCGCGGTCACCGGGGCGGGGCGGCGCGGCGCCCGACCCCCACCCCCGCCCGGGTCCTCACCAGCACCGAGAAGCGCATGGGGATGCGCCCGAAGAGCTGCCCGGGGTTGGCGGCGTACAGCATGGCGTGGCATGAGTGGCTCCAGCCCGGCCCCAGGCGCATAGCCTCCTCCCGGCTGATCTGTTTCAGCTCCGGAACGGCCACAGCCGACATCTTAGCGGTCCCCACGGCCGTCACCGCTGCCTACGAGCATGCGCGGCCCGGCCCCGTCGCCTGGCCAATCCGCGAACGCCCACGCACGCGCGCCCCGCCCACCGACTCAGTCCCGGTGCGCAGTGTGCAAACAGGAAGCCCGAGCCTCGAATACTACCACTCCCAAGATCCTCCAGTACTACAACTCCCAAGATGCCACGGGGCGAGCCCAGGCGCTCCGAAGGCCGCGTAAGACAACAGGTCTGCCCCCAGGCCGCCCGCTTCCGTGGACCAGCCGTCCACAGGGGTGCCCTGCGTAAGGCCACGTGACCTAGCACCCCCCGAGGCCCTGGGCACTCGCTGCTTAGTGTCGAGAGGACGCAGCGCCCCTTGTCCGCGCCGCCCGCCCGGTCCCCGGAGAGCTCCCCGCTCTCCCCGCGCGGGACCGACGGGGGCCCTGCACCTACCCCGTCTTCGTGCTGGAAAAGCCCTGGGCAAGGTGTCCGGCTCCCCTTACCTTCCTGTCCCCGGCATGTGCGTCCAGGGCTGGGGAGCGCAGCGCGGCCCGCCCGGGCTCCGCCGGGACGGAAGCACCGGGGCTGGCGGGGGAGCCGGGCTCTGAGGGGGGCCTCACGCCTGGGGAGCGTGCTCCCCGCGGTGGGCCTGCCGGACCAGCCGCACAGCTCTGGACGCGGGCCCCAGGAGAGGGCTCCCCTGCGTCCACCCCTCCCCACCGGATCCAGTGCCTCTGCCAGCTCCGCTGGAGCCCTGCCCCACCAAACCTACCTGCGAGCAAGCGCAGCTGTAGGGCACGAATCGGCCAGTAACACCTCTGCCGCCGCCACAAGGCCTTGGGAGAGCAGCACCAAGGAGCTGCGGGCACTCACAAGCCTGCGAGCAGGCCGCTTCCTCGGCAGGGGCAGGTGGCAGGCAGCAGGTCCCGCGGGGGCTGCAACCCCCAAGCCCACTGTTCTGGGGTAACCAGTATCCTCCCCGTGATGTCACTGTCGCTCCCTCATCTCAAACCTCTTGACAACCCCTTGTACAAAAAACACAAAGCACATGGGCTGGGAAGGTGGCTCCGTGGTAGAGCGCTTGCCTTGCATGCATGAGGCCCTGAGGTCGATTCCTCAGCACCACATAAGCAAAAAGAAAAACGCCAGAAGTGGCGCTGTGGCTCAAGTAGTAGAGCACTAGCTTTGAGCTGAAGAGCTGAGGGACAGCGCCCAGGCCCAGAGTTCAGGCCCCACGACTGGACCCAAAAACAAAAACAAAACACAAAGCACCTAACAAGGTCCAGGCCCGCACACAGGGCTCACTCCCGCTGCTGGGCCCCCTGCAGGCTGGGCAGCTGCCTGGAAGCAGCTCTGCGGGGTGAACTCCCCATCCAGCAGGGCTGTTTCATCTGAGACTCCGGTGTAACTTCACCCATCACCCCCTGCCTTTCCTAAATGGAACCAAATTGTACAAGGCGGAGGATCTGTCTGCCGGCATCCCACCAACTTCAATGGACCAGACCATGTCGATTTGCCCTCCTCTGATGCTCGGGAGGTGCTTAGTAAACATGGCACAGACCCGATGGAGATGGGGGCTGAACAACATGCAGCCACCTGCTGAGGAGACTGAACAACTCCCAGCCAGAATGGGAGGAAGCAACAAGGACACAAGACACCAGTAGGACAGACACCCTGTACCCCCTGACGGGGGTTGGGGCAGGCAGCCTTCACCAGGCACTCAGGGTTCTGACGCTGCACCAAGAACAGTCGTGGGCCCACAGCACCGTGCCCAGAGAAGGCCAGACAGGATATTGCTGCATGGTTTTATTACTATAAATATACGGTAAAAACGAGCCAAAAACTAGCCAATCAGGGTACAACAAATGATAGCACGTGTAAGTCCGAGATAGGCTAGTCTGCATCCATCCTTCAAAGTACTGGCACCAGTACCAATGAGCGGGGATGAGCACGCATGCGCATGCTCGTGTGTACACCTGTGCACACATGTATGCATATTTGTGTGTGTGTGTACAGCAGGCGGCCGGCATGTAGACACTGCTCTGTTGAGAGACCAAGCTGGCCATTAGCTCCATCTCCTTTCCCCAAGCACCTCGCTAGACAAAGCCAGGCTCCGGCTACCCTACCACAGAGGCAAGCTCCATGCCCTCTGCAGGCTGCCCACGGCACTGGCTCCAGGCCGGGCAGCCTGGGGAAGTTCTGCCTGGGGCACTAGTGCCAGGTGCTACCTTTGCCTTTCTACTGAAAAGTCACCTTAGAAATAAAGCATGGCTGGGCTGGTGGCTCACGCCTGTCATCCTAGCTACTCAGGAGGCTGAGATCTGAGGATCACAGTTCAAAGGCAGCCTGGGCGGGAAAGTCTGTGAGACTCTTATCTCCAATGAACCACCAGAAGACCAAAAGTGGTGCTGTGGCTCAAGTGGTAGAGCGATTGCCCTGAGCTGAGGATCTGAGGGAGAGTGCCCAGACTCAGAGTTCAAGCCCCACGACTGACAAAAAACCCCAAACAAAACAAGAAGCATGCATCACTGCTGGGCACCTGACAGATGCCTGTAATCTAGCTACCTGGAAAATCAAAGTTCAAAGCCAGCCCAGGCAGAAAAGTCCTTGAGACTCCATCTCCCAGTTAACCAGCGAAGAGCCAGGCTAGAAGCATGGCTCAAGTGGTAAAGCACCAGCTGTTAACAAGCAAGAGCACCAGGCACTGAGCTCAAGCCCCAGTACTGGCACTGGCACACACACAGAGTACAAGCATGACGCCGGCCCTCCTCATCAGATGGATTCCCATTGGTGAGAAAGGCGAGGGGGCATTAATTGGCAAAGGGGGAGCCCAGAAAACTGCCAGGCTCCCTGGGAGCGCCGCCAAATGAGCAGAAATGCCTTGACCACAGAGGCCGGCTGAGCTGGGCTTACCAGGACCCATGAGAATACGCAGCCCATGGGGACCAGACACCACCAACCACCACCCGTGAGGGACGGCGCTGCCCCCTCCTCAGACCGCACGCTACCCAAGGCACGCGGTGCAGCCGGGGCAGGTGCCGGGCGCGGAGGGGCCACAGGAGGGGCAGGGCAGGGCAGGCGGGGGCTCCAGGTGCCAGCAAGGCCACCAAAGGATGAACTGGCAACAGCCAGGCTGCTTCGAGGACGCACGTGCGGAGCTCGGACAGACACGGTTCCTTCACTGACTGCGAGCCAGGCTTCCCGCAGGCTTCCCGGGTGTCCATGGACAGCACTGAACCCTTCGGTACTTCTCCTCCGCTAGCTGTCAGCTCTTGGAGCATGGACCTGGCCTCTGTGGGAGGCCCCGAGAGCCGAGTAGAACGCTGCTGGCCTTCATTTGTACCATTACAAATAGACTGACTGTAGAAAAAAAGGGGTGTGGAGGGGGCAGTCCACTGTGCTCTTGATCTGGGGTCACGGTGGCCCCTCGCAGCCTGGTGGTCACACAGGGTGCACAGACAGGAGAGGCCAGGATCGTGCTGGGGTTCGGGGAAGCCCCTCAGCAAGGTCCAGGGGGCTGAGGGCTCCGTGCTGTCAGCCTAGCTGGGCTCAGAGTGGGGTGAGCTCCGTGGGCCCGGGCTCGGGGCTGGAGCCGCCACGTGGAGGCCAGGGAGGGCCCGCGGTGCCGAGGCTGTGGGGCGTCTCCATGGAGGTGGACCATCCTGTGGGTGGGAAGACGGGAGGTGAGGTCAGACCCAGCCAGCGGCCACACCCCGCCGCTCTCTGGAGAGCCCAGCGCGCCACCTCAGCCCTGGTGGTGGCGCAGAGCTGGGCCCAGGGCTGACTGAGCAGGAGCTGTGCGGTCCTCGAGAGCTTGTGGGCTGGGTGGGGCTGGACTCCGCCGTGCCAGTGGAAGGAGGGACGGAGGCGCGAGCCTGTGCCCTCTCCCACCACGGGCTGCCAGGGGCGCACACCGCACCCGGCTCTCCACTCAGGAGCTGCAGCCTTGAAGGAGACGGCTCCACACGTCTCAGGCCTGCCCGGGGCTGCCAGCTGCTCCCAGCTAACCACAGCGCCCTGCTGCCTGCCAGAGCTACAACCCGCTCAAGACAGTGCCCGGGCTGCCGCGAGCAGGGCCGTTCAGAAGCAGAGCTCGAGGAGGAGCCGAGCAGCGAGGGACACAAGCAGCCGCCAGAACCAGAGAAGCAGCCACCGACCTCACTCAGGTTGGCTGTCGGAGGCCACAGCTTAGAGGCCTGAACACCAGCATGCTCTGTGCGCCAGACCGCCACAGCGCAAGGCTGCTGCGGGAGCCGGCGCCCTGCTGGAACCCTCGGAGAGAGATCTCAGCAGCTGCCTAGATGGCGGGTCCCAGGAACGGCCTCTGTGCGGCCCCTCCGGGCCACCGTGGAGGGCACCTCTCACCTCACGGCTCACAGCGGACTCTTCACATGCTATCATCCCAAAAAGTTTCCAGGGACAGAAGGGACAGGTCACGGCCCAGCAGCACACAGGGAATGCCACGGCCAGAGGCCAGGCTGACAGGCCGGGGAGGGCAGAGAATGCCCTCTGCACACAGGAGGCCAGGCTGCGGCTGAGGACGGGCATCCTCTACACAGGGCTCGGCTGACACCGGCTGAGCCAAAGCCTCCCACACGTGACTCGGGTGGCTTAACCATCACCAAGCCACAGAGCAAGGCAGGGCGGGGCCGGCTGGACAGCGGCTGTCCGAGGTGGAATTGTTGGGGATCGCTTGGGAGAAGCTGGGCGAGGCTGGAGCAGTCTCTCTGCCCCAGGGCTCCTACTGTGGATGCCAGCCTGACACACCAGGGCTGAGTGACCACTGCGGGGACCCTACACCCTGTAAGAACCTCACCGGGGACCTGTCCTGATGGGAAAACCTCCAGGTAAGGAGCCAGCTCCCCAAGGAGGGCGCCTATCAGGGGCAGAGGGGCAGAGGGGCAGTGGTTGGTGGTGGCTCTGGATCTAGGACCCCCGTGAAGACACAGGCACATGAAGACTTAAAAGCAGAAGGAGCCGGGAGGGGATGGTAGGGGGAAAACAATGGAGGGGGTAACAATGTTCAAGAGGAAGTGTACTCATAACCTCACTCATGTAACTGTAACCCTCTGTATAGTATCTTTACAATAAAAAAAAATCATCTAAACAAAAAAAAAAAAGCAGAAGGAGCCGGGTGCCAGTGGCTCATGCCTGGAATCCTAGCTACTCAGGAGGCTGAGTTGAGGATCGCGGTTCAAAGACAGCCCAGGCAGGAAAGTCCAGGAGACTCTATCTCCAATAAACCACCAGAAAACTGGAAGTGGCACTGTGGCTCAAGTGGTAGAGCGCTCGCCTTGAGCTGAAGAGCTGAGGGACAGCACCCAGGCCCAGAGTTCAAGCCCCACAACTGACCAGGAAAAAAGAAAAAAAAAAGCAGGACTCCCTCAGGGAAGCGAGGGTCTTCTCTCCAGAGCTGGCAGAGCCGCCCAAGCACGCAGGAGAGGCCACGGACCAGCTCACTCCTCCAGACCAACAGAGCAGGACTCGGGCCCCAGAGCTGCACAGAGCAGGGAGAGACAGACGAGGTCGGCGAGCGCGTGCGCGCCATGGACCAGGGTTGCGCAGCCAAGGCACCGACGCCGGGACTAAGGGCAGGCGAGTTAGAAACAACCCCGCACGCCAGCCCGCTAACTCAGAAGAGCTGGAGGCAGACCAGCAAAGCTTTAGCGGGGAGGGACAGCACGGCCGGCTGCCCTCGGAAGCCAGGCACTGAGCCAGGGTGGAGGGACCTAAGCGTTCAGTACTTTGCAGGTCCCCAGCCTCCTTTTCTCCATCTCCAGGGAACCTGGGAATCTGCAGAGAAAGGCTGCGTCCGGCTAGAGGACCGTGGGTGTCAAGAGGACAGGATGCCAAGTGTGTGTTCTCACACACATGGAAAGGGGTTCAGGGCCCATCAAGTGGCAAATGCCAGTAGACTGGATGGTGCAGCCACTTGGGTGTACATGACCGCCAAGCCCCCAAACACTGCCGCGTCTGCGCCACGGGGCAGGACAGGGCCTTCACTGTGGGTCAGAGCAGGTCGAAGACCAAGGCTGGCGGGGCTGGGTTGGCTGCACACCATGCTGCGGCCCGCCATCTGTCCTGCCGGCTCCAGCGCTTGGCTGTTCCCTGCACTGACCACTGCCTCCCGCCCCTGCTGATGGACCGAGGACAGGAGGCGGCCGGGGGGAGAGGCGGCTTTCTAGATGTCAGCCCATCAACGAGCCCCGGGCTGCCTGCGGGATCAGAACTTGTGCGCGCAGCTGGAGCTCCGCCCCATCCCCATGTGCACCTGCGTGTAACTGGAATGGATTACTTAAAGCCCTTCAAAGAACTGACTGGGGCTGCGTGCCTCCAGGGGGTGCTGGCTGCAGGGGCCCCCACCTGTGGGCTGGCTCTGAGTAGCCCCAGGAGGCAATATCACCAGTTCCTGCCGACACCTAGCCACGGCCACCGTGAGTCCCACCAAAGCACGTTACAGCCGGCTGGTGGCCAGGCCCAGGCTGCTGTGGTGAGCTGGGAGCAGAGCCACAGGCCCAGGCTGGGAGCAAAGGGCTCTTTCTATTGAACGTTCTGAGGTGACATGGTGGTTTTTCCTGACCCCAGAAGCCCAGACACGAGAGCCAGCAACAATGTCTCAGAGGCCTCACTTTGTTCCTGGCTTTGAAGCTGAGAATCTCACCCCAGAAGAGCAGTGAAGCTGAGGTCCTGGCCTGAGCCTTCAGAAAGGAGAAGAGCAAGACCCCTGTCCCTGCCCTCGCCCTGGTGTCTGCATGGCCGTCTCTTCTCGGGGAGGAGGAAAGTTGCTTCGTTGGGCAGATGGCCTAGGGGGGCCTGGGGTTGACTGGCTGTCTGTCCAGCTCGCACCCCACCTCCTGCCAGCATGACCCTGGGCCTCTGCTTCCCGCTTCGTACAGCTCTGGGAACAGAGGGTGCCTGCTGCTGGCTCCCGTGCCATGGACCAGGGACCAATGAAGACACTGACCCCAGGCAGGAGGGGCCGGGCTGACCCTAGCTGCCAGCAGGAGGCAGATGAGGAAATGGTTGCGCCCTCCTGAGCCAAGTTAGCCCAACTCCAGGGTGCGAAGGGTGTGGGGTTGCTCAAGCAACCAGGCCTGCAGAAGACCCAGACCTGGGCTGGCTGAGTTCTGCTGTGGGGATTGGAAGGAGCAGGGCCCAGAGCTAGGCGGAAGAACTGGGCTGGGAGGGGCTGGTCCCCCGCTACACACAAAGCCTAAAGGCAGCTCCCACGCTCTGGAGCAGAGTACTGTTACCTGGCAGGTAGATGTCGGCAGAAGGGCCTGGCGGGCCGCAGCCATGATGCTGGGGACTGCCATCTTGCAGGACGTCCTCGAGGGAGGGCACCCGGCTCCCTGTGGCAGGTGGAGGAGCAACGTCAGAACCAACAGGCAGGGCGGGTCTCCGTGGGCGCCTGGGTTGAAAGGCCCTGGGCCTGGCCCTGCTAAACTTCATCCTGAGCCCACCAGCTCTCCCGGGACCCAAAGGTGGAAATGTCCCTTTCTTTTCTGTCCCTCTTTCTCTCTTCCCAACACGGGGATCTGCCCCGCAGGGCAGGCAGAGCCTCAGAAGGGGTGAGGCATGCAAGTGGCATTCAGGCTGGGCCGGTCTTCCCAGCACTGCTGACAGCATCTTCAAGAGGGGAGCTGGCCCCCACTTGCCTAGAATCTTGAGGTCTGAAGGGGAAACCAAGGCCCCAAGGCAAAGGCACTCCCTGAGCACCTAGCAAGGGCCCACCCTCTGAAACTTCAGGTCAACTCCGATTCCCAGACCAGACAGGCAGGGTGGCAAGCCCCGGAGGGGCTGGTGTGATAGCACCTGCCCAGGGAGTACCCCCATTGACCCCCACGAGGTCCCTGGCCTAGGGTCTCCTTGAGAATGGAGGGCCCCGCCCAGCAGCCCGCAGGTGGGCCTCACGTGGGTGGCTAAAAACCCCTGGGAAGGATGTAACAGAGTGGCCTAGCTAGCAGCCGGGGCCACCTCTCAGCCCTGCCACTTCCAAGTCAAGTGGCCTGAGGCCTCCGTCTGGTGCCGGCCTGAGCCTTGATTTCATCACGTCCAGACGACGAACAACCAAGACGGCGGAGATGGCAAGGGGAAGATCGGAGCCATGGCCACGAGGCAGGCAGCCAGTGAGCTGGCAGGGGCTCAGACTACCGGAGTGGAGGGCCAGGTGCCAGCATCTTCTCATCTAACCAGGGGTGCGACGGCCAGGAAACTCAGCAAATCCCGGAACAGGAAGGTGTGCGCCCCTCCCACCCATGCGTCCCCCCCCCTGGACACACAGGGGCGGGGGCTTGCCAGGGCCGAGGAGGCGGGAAAGCTGGCAGCTGCAGGGGTGCAGGCTGTCCCCTGGAGGCCTGGGAAACTGGCCAGGCCAAGGAGGGGCTCACCTTGCTTTAGTGACGCCTCCTCAACGTCTTCTGTTCCAAAGCTCTAGGAGGAAAAGAGGAAAGGCCTGAACCCGGGTGCTGGGGCCCGAGCCCGCTGGTCCGGGGCAGGCATAGCTGAGAGCAACTGCTGGCATCACAGACCAAAAGCCTGTCGCCGAGTGTCAGGTGGCCCTCTGTAGCCCTGTGTGATGACACCACACACTGCAGACAGAGGCTCGCCACACAGGCTGGGGGCGGAGACTCAGGCTGGGGGGGCGGGGACTCAGCGGGGGGGGGGGGGCAGGGGGGCGCGGAGGATGCTGCCAGGGCCTCCTCACCTCCGGGGAGCTGCTCTCCCGCAGCACCGTGTCTGAGACAACGCAGGGAGGGACTGGAGCGTCCGAGTTCTCTGAGAGCTTCTCTTCCTCCTCCTCATGGGTGGGAGATGACGGGGACCTCAGGGTGCTGGGGACAGATGGAGTCGGCAGGTGGTTAGGCTGGATAAGGTGCACTGACCCAGCCAAGCCACGCTGGGTAGAGCCCTGAACCTGATTCCAATCATCGTGATCTCGCCAAATCCATCACAGGGAAGACTCCCTGGGGAGAGGTTCCTGTCAGCAAAGACCACAGCACTAGAACACCTCATGCTGTGTGCCCTCCCAGACAAGACCAGAACCCAACCCGAGGCAGCGTGGCCCTCACGCACCCACACCTGCAGGACTAAGGTCCTAGGAGGGACACCAGGACAGGTCTGACAGCTTCTTATTTCTAGAAGAAGGCAGCCAGGCTTGGTAGTGCACACCTGTAATCCCAGCACTGGGGAGGTTAAAGCAGGAGGAGCTCCAGTTCAAGGTCAGCCTGGGGAACATAGGCTCCAAACGAAAGAAAAGAAAAAAGAGAAATTGCGGATGGAGGAGCACTGGGTGGAAAGCAGCAGTGGGACTGATGTGTGGCTTGTTGGTAGAACTGGGACTTGGACTCAAATTTGCTCTACCATTTGAGCTACCTTCCCAAACTGTTTTGCTTTAGCTGTTTTTCAGGTAGGGTCTGGGTTTTTGTTTTGTTTTTCATTGTCAATCCTGGGGCTTGGCACTGTGCCTGAGCCTCTTTGCCAAAGACCTGTGCTCTACCACTTAAGCTACAGCTCCACTTTCAGCTTTTTGATGGTCTGTTGGAGATAGGTCTCACGAACTTTCCTGCTTAGGCTAGCTTTGAACTATGATCTTTAGATTTCGACCTCCTGAGTAGACAGGATTATAGGCATGAGCTCCAATACTGGCTCTGGCATTTTTTGACCAGGGCAGACCTTAGACCATGCTCCTCCGATCTCTGGCCTCCTTTGCAGCTGAACCACTAGGAGTCTGCTTCTAAGCCTGGTTTGTTGTTGAGGTAGACGGGGTTCTCATTACTTTTCGCCTGAGCTGGTAGAATTGGAATGTTGATCTCAGCCCCCTAAGGAGCTAGGATTGAGGTTTGGGTACCTTCAGGCTTCTCTGTACTTTTTTTTGTCACAGGTCTTGAACTCAGGGCCTTGGAGCGTCCCTGAGCTTTTTTGCTTAAGGCTAATGCTCTACCACTTTGAGTCACAGTGCCACTTCCTGTTTTCTGGTAGTGAAATGGAGGTAAGAGTCTCACAGACTTTCTTCCCCAGGCTTCAAAGCACCATCCTCAGATCTCAGCCTCCTGAGTAGCTAAGGTGACAGGTGTTAACCACTGGCACTTGGCCTTCACCTTGCCAGGGCTTGAACTCAGATCTTTGTTTGCTTGGCTGGCATATTCTGGAGGTTGATATCTCTTGAACTTTCTGCCCTGACTGCCTTCAAACTAAAATTCTCTGGATCTTAGATCTCAGTAGAGTAGCCACTACTACATGGGAGGGAGGAAGAAGGGAGGGGAGCAGGGCTGCCAGTCATTCCTCCAAGTCTCCAACTGAGCCCCAGCTGGGCCCCCAGCAGCCTGAGGAATAAAATCCAGGGAAGCCTCTGGGCCTGGGCCTGGGCCTCTGGTGCAGCCAGAGCCTAGAAAGCACCTTACCACTGGCACAGCAAGTGATGTGGGCATGCTTCCCATCCTGGCCTGGGGCAGCATGGCCCAGAGTCTTCAGCCCTACCCAGCTGCTCTACCTACAACTGCTGTGGGCAGCCATGCCCATGTCTGCCCCACTACTGGGCCTGCTGAGTCCTGATCGACACTGAACAAGACGTGCTAGGAAGCCATCAAATCAGATAACCCTTGCAGGCTCGCACGCAGGCACACATGCCCCGCCCCTCTGCTCCCAGAGGGAGGCCAAGTACCTCACCTGTCTGGAGACTTGCTCCTCGGCTTGCCCTTCTGGTGGCTGCTTTCCATGATTCGGTCAAGCCCAGCCAATGGACAGCTGGCCTGGGAGAGACCATCTGAGACGCCGGAGTAGGTGATTTCCTCGTAAAGGGGAGCTGAAGGGATGGCCGGGGAAACAGCCCGCAGACCATTGAGCGCTTCCAGCAGGGAGATGGGCTCGTAGCCGGGTGGGACACTGTCGGCGCTCTACAGGGACAGGGCAGGTGAAGAGCGGCTGTCAGGACTGCTGGCTGGCAGCCGTGAAGCCCAGACACTGAGCTATGTCCCAAGGACATTCCACTCACCCACCCCGCTTTGCCCATCTCCTGTGTTTGGACCTGAACAGCCCCCTGCCCTGCAACGAGCTCTCGGGCCCTGAAGCCTTCCTTCCCAGCGCGCCCTGGGAACCCAGCTGAAGACAGCTTGGCCACCCAAGCGCCCAGGATGCCAGGTAAGAAGGCGCGTGTAAGGAACCACACGTGTCCTCAGCCAGCCCCTCTGGCTTGCAGGGGCGGAGAAGGCGAGGGGGTTAGTAACAGCGGGAGAGCAGGAAAGCCAGCCATGCCGGGGGCAGGAGTCATTGCCCGCGCTGCCTTCGGGGCCCTGGCTCGGGAGGGACGTGTGGGTGCGAGCCGCTGCTGCCCCGCCGGGCGGAACAGACAGGCCAATGGAGAGCTCAGAAAGTTACAGGCTCCAGGCCACTCGCCCTTCTTGACAGCAGGTAAGGGTGGGGTGCTCACAGAGCCTCTGACTGTAGCCTAACTGAGGGAAGGAGATGGAAAAGCATCCTGGGGCCACAGGTGTGCAGCAGGCCCCTGCTGCTTCCTGTACCCTGTCTTCCTCTGCACTGGACTTAGAGAAGAGCTGCTCTGAGTCCTGAGCCCCCTCCAGAAAGGAAAAAAAAACACTCTGGGTCGCTTCTCAAGCAACTCCCAGCTTTCCAGAGCACACCAAGGCCCCGAGGGCTTCCACTGGCTCTGCCCAGGTTAGCACAGGCTCTGGAGAGGCCTGGCCTGTCTGCCACCTGCTTTCTCTCTCCCATGCCAGAAAACCAGTCCGTAGCCCAAAGAGCCAAACTCGAAAGGGGTGGGGAGCAGAGGTACAAGCCCGCAAGCATGCGTGGGGAATGCTGTCTGCAAAGAATAACAAAATTAGTTTCACCTTCAATATCCATTCCACTGCCAGCAAGAAAAAAAAAGGGAAACGGGCGGGGGGGGGGGGGGGGAGGGGCAGTGGGGAGCCAGGGCGGAGCAAAGCTGGCGAGGAGGGGCGCTGCCCGAGGCCGGCCGGCTGCCTGCAGCAGAACCAGGAACCTGGCTTTTTGCCAACAGACCTTGAGCTTTGCTTGTTCCACAAAATTCCCTTCGTGGCAGGGAGTGCCGCCAGGACTGGGGAGAGCGATGTGACAGAGTGAGTTAATCGAACGTTTCAGCCTGGGGTGAAAATGGCTTCCCCCTTGCCAGTGGCTTAGTAAGGGCGCGGGCAGAACCGGAGCCGTGGGCTAAGCACACTTACTGTTTCCCTTTTAGGTTTCTTGCTGGCCAGTGAGGCGGGGTGCGACTTTGATTTTTTAAAAGGACACTGTCAAGATAAAAATCATGTGTTTTACAACCACCACCCGACACGAGGCTGGGCTGGCAGGGCGGAGTCTCTGGTTTGCTGCCCTCGGTGTTGCACACTTGGGGCAGCCAGTCTCAGGCCTACAGAAAATGCAAGATCTCGCTGGGCTATGGGCCAGCTCAGGGAGCTGGCATGGTCCCTTCAGAGCAGCAAGAGGCGGGGCCAGTCCTCACCCAGAACACCAACCAGCCTGCAGCCCAGGCCACCCCCGGGTGGCCGGCCTCAGCCAGGTGTGGTGACCCTGGCTGGGAGCTAACCTCATCCTTACCTTAAGGACTTGCTGGAGGAAGGAGCCTAAGCTGAGCTCTGTAACATGGTTCCCTGGGGGGGTGGGGGTGGGGGGGCAGGGATGGTGCCAGCCCCTCCAGCTTGTCAAGGCCCCACTGCCCTGTGTATGGGAGGTGACACTGAAGAAGAGGGACAAAGCAAGGCTGGTCCAATGCTTAGCCACCAGGACAGAACCTGGGAGGGACAAAACCAAGTAGCAACCCAGCCACTGCCTTCGCTGCCAGCCAATCCCTCTGAAGCCAGACTCCTTTCTGGGGGCGGGGGACAGATCCCACTTAAACCTTACTCCTCTTACAACCAGAAAGTATGCCCCCAGGAAATGGTGGTGCTCCTAGATCAAAGCCAACACACTGCTGGGGGCTGGGGGTCCTGGACTGGGTGCTCATGAGTCTAGCCCTCTGGAGCTGGGTGAGGGCTTCAGTCTGAAGACTCAAAACCCTTCTGGGGACAGCTCCAGATCTGCACCAACTGCCAGAACCAGCTCAGACTTTGAAAGAAAATCTGAAAATCTGGGGCTGGCAATGTGGCTTAGTGGTAGAGTGCTTGCCTAGCATGCATGAAGCCCTGGGTTCGATTCCTCGGTGCCACATACACAGAAAAAGCTGGAAGCGGCACTGTGGCTCAAGTCGTAGAGTGCCAGCCTTGAGCAAAAGCAGCTCAGGGACAGTGCTCAGCTGAGTTCAAGCCCTAGGACTGGGGGAGACAAGAAAATCAGAAAATGTGGCATTTAGAGACAACCCATGGGCAGGCATAGCGTGCTGGCCGGGCGGCTGGCAGGGCCGTCAGGAGTCGGAGTGAACACGGGAGGCAGGAGGAGCCTCCAGATGCAAAAGGGGGATGTGCAGACTCACCAGCTCTCGCCTCTAGGGCAGGCAGGGCCTTCATGAGCTACTAGCCCCAGTGGCCTCAGTGCAGAGAGGGCCCAGCAAGGCGCCACTAAGGGTCTGTGTGACCAGCAGGAGCAGAGTCCAACCAGACCCTGTCCCAGCAGCCTCCACAGTCTAAGAACCCAGCTCTGCTCTCCTCCCTCCCAACCTCCCCGAATCCCAGCCCAAGCATCTCTCCCTGCGGCCAGCTCTCTCTAAACTTAGTCTCTCTCTCTCAGTAGTTCTGTGCAGTCCTGAAGCAAGGCCTGGCTGTGAGGGGCCTGCGGAGGGGGCCTCTGGGCTGAGGTCCTGCCCGGCTGGCAGGCAAGGCATACTTCAGTCAAGAACGTGACTGCCACCCTTGGGGTGTCCTATAGGTGACACAATGGTGACACCCTTTGGTGGGAGCTCAGCAGGTCCAAGCCTGTTTCCTCTTGTCAGAGGGACACCGGTTTTAGCCTCCAATAGCCCCACCCCGCCAGCCTCCTGTGGAGGCCACACCCACCCAGTGGCAGGGTGAGGAGAGCAGGGGAAGGCACTTACCGAGTGCTCGTCATGGTCCACACTCTGGGCCAGAACAGGGCTAAACGAGATGGGGGACAGGGCCCCTGGCTTCTTCCGCACAGCCCGAATCTGCAGGAGGGCCCGGAATGCTGTGGAGGGAGGGACACACGTAAGCCAGTGCTGAGTCTCCAGCAGCCCTGACTCCTCCTAGCACCACACCAGGATGCCTAGAACCCAAGAAAAAGGAACTCCTTCCCCCCACCACTATCAAATGAATGGCTCCTTAACAATGGCCCGAGGCGGGGAACCAAAAAGAAGCAAGACTGTATGGCTGCTGGATGAGACTCGAGGGAGCCCAGCTCCATGGAGTATGCTAACGCCTGCAGCCGAGGTGGTCTGAAAACCCAGCATGCAAGATGGTGCTGTAGCTGCAGCTCCACACAGCGGGGCCCAAGGACAGAGAATGGGCACCTCCACGTGGGAGCAGGATGCGGGTGACGTCTCCCGCTGGGAAGACCAGGCCAGAGCCGGGTGCTGAGAGATCAGACCAGGGCCTGTCCTGGAGGCAGGGCTGTCCCGTGGCACTCAGGATGCCCACGGCAGTAGCCCAGCGTGCCACGGCAGCATTTGAGATAGACGAAGGTGCGGACCACAGGTCTAAAAGAGACAGCAGTGTCATCACAGGAAGGCAGCCTCCACTTCCACATGCAGTGGCTATGGGGACCCTGTAGGCCACTCAGCTGCTAACACAGCTCTTCAGAGGCCAAGAACCCAATGCCACTGGCCCTTTATGCTGCCTGATCTCAAGCAGGCTGGGCGGCACCCACCTATAGCCTGCCCTGCCTCGGCCGGGGCCTTCTCCCGGCTCTGGGTCTCCCGGCATCGCCCTCATGTCTGCACAACCCCATCTTCCCTGCAGTCATGAGCTCCCACCATGCCCACTTGCACACAGGTGGCCTTTCCATAGCTCTGGCTCGCCCAGGAACCAACTGCTACCCCTGAGCACGCCATCAACTCCACAGGGGAAGCTGAGAAAGACAAGTTTCCTCAGAGTCCACAATGGTGAAAGGCAATGTGATCACAGACTCCCTCTTTTTTTGGGGGGGAGGGGAGGGCCAGTTGTGGCACTTGAACTCAGGGCCTGGGTGCTGTCCCCAAGCTCTTCTGCTCAAGGTTAGCACCCTACTAGTTTGAGCCACAGCTCCAACTTCTGGTTTTCTGGTGTTTAATTGGAGATAAGAGTCTCATGGGAGCCAGACACCGGTGGCTCACGCCTGTCATCCTAGCTACTCAGGAGGCTGAGATCTGAGGATCTCGGTTCAAAGCCAGCCTGGGCAGAAAAGTCCATGAGACTCATCTCCAATAAAAAGCACTAGAAAACCGGAAGTGGTGCTGTGGCTCAAGTGGTAGAGCGCTTGCCTTGAGCTGAAGAGTACAAGGACAGTGCCCAAGCCCAGAGTTCAAGCCCCATGACCAAAAAAAAACTCTGGGAGGTTGGCTCAGTGGTAGAGCACTTGCCTTGCACGCTTGAGGCCCTGGGTTCGATTCCTCAGCACCACATAAGCAGGGGAAAAAAAGCCGGAAGTGGCGCTGTGGCTCAAGTGGTAGAGCGCTAGCCTTGAGCTGAAGAGCTGAGGGACAGCGCCCAGGCCCAGAGTTCAGGCCCCACGACCGGACCAAAAAAAAAAAAAGAGTCTCATGGGTACTTTCCTGCCCATGCTGGCTTGGAACTGCGGTCCTCAGACCTCAGCCTCCTGAGTAGCTAGGGTTTGAAGGGTGAGACACCAGCGTGTAGGTGTCTAATTTTCAATTCCAATGTTCCCAAAACGTTTCCATGTAATCTTTCAAACATTTCATTCACCAGCCAACTTTGGCCCAATTCAAGGGCCACTGCACACACGCACTTGGGCCAACCTCCGTGGCATTCCTGTGGACCTGTCCTGGAGGCAGACTGCAAGCACTAAGGCCCCACAGCACCAAAGATCAACTACTGGCCACCATCACACCTTGAGTGAAGGGCAGGCGGCAGCCATCTCCTAACCAACAGGGTCTGCTCTACCATAGCCAGGGCCCAGGACCGCTGTGGCAGGGGCTCTGGCGCACTCACGCAGCCGGCAGATAGGGCAGTTGTTGGCCTGGTACCGCAGCGTGTCAGCACAGGAGGTGCACAGGCACAGGTGGCGGCAGGGCAGGATCAGCGTGTCCCTCAGGTCTGACAGGCACACCACACACTCATTGCTGTTGTCGCTGTTCTCATCGTCAGAGGGCTGTGGGGACAAGGGCCTACAGATCAGGGCCCTTGCAAGGCCTGGTGCACCTCAGGGTGCTCAGAGCATGTCCTCCCTCCTGTGCCCAGTTGTCACCAGCTCCCCAAGGGGCAAGGGGAGGCCTAGAGGGCAGAAGGAGTGGGAGAGGGGGTGCCTCAGGCACTAGTTAGGCTGGGGGGGACAGCATAGAGGAGCATCATTATAGAGGGGGCATTGTTACAGAGAAGCACCATCACAGAGGGGTTTGCCATCACAGAGGGGGACGTCATCACAGAGAGGGACGTCATCACAGAGGGGCGTCATCACAGAGAGGGACGTCATCACAGAGGGGCGTCATCACAGAGGGGCGTCATCACAGGGGGGTGTCACCACAGAGGGACGTCATCACAGAGGGACGTCATCACAGAGGGGTGTCATCACAGAGGGGCGTCATCACAGAGGGGCGTCATCACAGAGGGGTGTCATCACAGAGGGGTGTCATCACAGAGGGGCGTCATCACAGAGGGGCGTCATCACAGAGGGGCGTCATCACAGAGGGGCGTCATCACAGAGGGGCGTCATCACAGAGGGGTGTCATCACAGAGGGACGTCATCACAGAGGGGCGTCATCACAGAGGGACGTCATCACAGAGGGGTGTCATCACAGGGGGGCGTCATCACAGAGAGGCGTCATCACAGAGGGGCGTCATCACAGAGAGGGACGTCATCACAGAGGGACGTCATCACAGAGGGACGTCATCACAGAGGGGTGTCATCACAGAGAGGGACGTCATCACAGAGGGGTGTCATCACAGAGGGACGTCATCACAGAGAGGGACGTCATCACAGAGGGGCGTCATCACAGAGGGACGTCATCACAGAGGGGCGTCATCACAGAGAGGCGTCATCACAGAGGGACGTCATCACAGAGGGACGTCATCACAGAGGGACGTCATCACAGAGAGGGACGTCATCACAGAGGGGCGTCATCACAGAGGGGTGTCATCACAGAGGGGGACGTCATCACAGAGGGGGACGTCATCACAGAGGGGTGTCATCACAGAGAGGGGCGTCATCACAGAGGGGCGTCATCACAGAGGGACGTCATCACAGAGGGACGTCATCACAGAGGGGTGTCACCACAGAGGGGCGTCATCACAGAGGGACGTCATCACAGGGGGGCGTCATCACAGAGGGACGTCATCACAGAGGGGCGTCATCACAGAGGGACGTCATCACAGGGGGGTGTCATCACAGAGGGGCGTCATCACAGAGGGGTGTCATCACAGAGGGGTGTCATCACAGAGGGACGTCATCACAGGGGGGCATCATCACAGAGGGGTGTCATCACAGAGGGGCGTCATCACAGAGGGGTGTCATCACAGAGGGGTGTCATCACAGAGGGACGTCATCACAGGGGGGCATCATCACAGAGGGGCGTCATCACAGGGGGGCGTCATCACAGAGGGACGTCATCACAGAGGGGCGTCATCACAGAGGGACGTCATCACAGGGGGGCATCATCACAGAGGGACGTCATCACAGGGGGGCGTCATCACAGAGGGACGTCATCACAGAGGGGCGTCATCACAGAGGGACGTCATCACAGGGGGGCATCATCACAGAGGGGTGTCATCACAGAGGGGTGTCATCACAGAGGGGCATCATCACAGAGGGGGCGTCATCACAGAGGGACGTCATCACAGAGGGGTGTCACCACAGAGGGGCGTCATCACAGAGGGGCGTCATCACAGAGGGGTGTCATCACAGAGGGACGTCATCACAGGGGGGTGTCATCACAGAGGGGCGTCATCACAGAGGGGTGTCATCACAGAGGGGCGTCATCACAGAGGGGTGTCATCACAGGGGGGCGTCATCACAGAGGGGGCGTCATCACAGAGGGACGTCATCACAGAGGGGTGTCATCACAGAGGGACGTCATCACAGAGGGACGTCATCACAGAGGGGTGTCATCACAGAGGGACGTCATCACAGAGGGACGTCATCACAGAGGGGCGTCATCACAGAGGGGTGTCATCACAGAGGGGCGTCATCACAGAGGGGTGTCATCACAGAGGGGCGTCATCACAGGGGGGCATCATCACAGAGGGGTGTCATCACAGAGGGGTGTCATCACAGAGGGGGCGTCATCACAGAGGGGGCGTCATCACAGAGGGACGTCATCACAGAGGGGCGTCATCACAGAGGGGCGTCATCACAGAGGGGTGTCATCACAGAGGGACGTCATCACAGAGGGACGTCATCACAGAGGGGTGTCATCACAGAGGGACGTCATCACAGAGGGACGTCATCACAGAGGGGCGTCATCACAGAGGGGTGTCATCACAGAGGGGCGTCATCACAGAGGGGTGTCATCACAGAGGGGCGTCATCACAGAGGGGTGTCATCACAGAGGGCGTCATCACAGAGGGACGTCATCACAGGGGGGCATCATCACAGAGGGGTGTCATCACAGAGGGGTGTCATCACAGAGGGGGCGTCATCACAGAGGGGGCGTCATCACAGAGGGACGTCATCACAGAGGGGCGTCATCACAGAGGGGCGTCATCACAGAGGGGTGTCATCACAGAGGGGCGTCATCACAGAGGGGTGTCATCACAGAGGGCGTCATCACAGAGGGACGTCATCACAGAGGGACGTCATCACAGAGGGGTGTCATCACAGAGGGGCGTCATCACAGGGGGGCATCATCACAGAGGGACGTCATCACAGAGGGGCGTCATCACAGAGGGACGTCATCACAGAGGGGTGTCATCACAGAGGGGCGTCATCACAGAGGGGTGTCATCACAGAGGGCGTCATCACAGAGGGACGTCATCACAGGGGGGCATCATCACAGAGGGGTGTCATCACAGAGGGGTGTCATCACAGAGGGGCATCATCACAGAGGGACGTCATCACAGAGGGGCGTCATCACAGGGGGGCATCATCACAGAGGGGTGTCATCACAGAGGGACGTCATCACAGAGGGACGTCATCACAGAGAGGGACGTCATCACAGAGGGGCGTCATCACAGAGGGATGTCATCACAGAGGGGTGTCATCACAGAGGGGTGTCATCACAGGGGGGCGTCATCACAGGGGGGTGTCATCACAGGGGGGCGTCATCACAGAGGGGTGTCATCACAGAGGGGCATCATCACAGAGGGGTGTCATCACAGAGGGACGTCATCACAGAGGGGTGTCATCACAGAGGGGCGTCATCACAGAGGGACGTCATCACAGAGGGGGGTCATCACAGAGGGACGTCATCACAGGGGGGCGTCATCACAGAGGGGTGTCATCACAGAGGGGCATCATCACAGAGGGGTGTCATCACAGAGGGACGTCATCACAGAGGGGTGTCATCACAGAGGGGCGTCATCACAGAGGGACGTCATCACAGAGGGGTGTCATCACAGAGGGGTGTCATCACAGAGGGACGTCATCACAGAGGGGTGTCATCACAGAGGGGTGTCATCACAGAGGGACGTCATCACAGGGGGGCATCATCACAGAGGGGTGTCATCACAGAGGGACGTCATCACAGAGGGACGTCATCACAGAGAGGGACGTCATCACAGAGGGGCGTCATCACAGAGGGATGTCATCACAGAGGGGTGTCATCACAGAGGGGTGTCATCACAGAGGGACGTCATCACAGAGGGGCGTCATCACAGAGGGGTGTCATCACAGAGGGGCATCATCACAGAGGGGTGTCATCACAGAGGGGCGTCATCACAGAGGGGCATCATCACAGAGGGGTGTCATCACAGAGGGACGTCATCACAGAGGGGCGTCATCACAGGGGGGTGTCATCACAGAGGGGTGTCATCACAGAGGGACGTCATCACAGAGGGGTGTCATCACAGAGGGGCGTCATCACAGGGGGGTGTCATCACAGAGGGGTGTCACCACAGAGGGGTGTCATCACAGAGGGACGTCATCACAGAGGGGTGTCATCACAGAGGGACGTCATCACAGAGGGGCGTCATCACAGAGGGACGTCATCACAGAGGGGTGTCATCACAGAGGGGTGTCATCACAGGGGGGCGTCATCACAGGGGGCGTCATCACAGAGGGCGTCATCACAGAGGGACGTCATCACAGAGGGGTGTCACCACAGAGGGGTGTCATCACAGAGGGGTATCATCACAGAGGGGGCGTCATCACAGAGGGGCGTCATCACAGAGGGGTGTCATCACAGAGGGACGTCATCACAGAGGGGTGTCATCACAGAGGGACGTCATCACAGAGGGGTGTCATGTGCTGCTCCCTACCCAAACCATTACAACTCACTCTCTGGCACCCATCCAGACACATAAAATGCTGGAGAGCTGCATGACTTGAGGTCTTTGCAATGTCCATCCATATGGTAAAACATAGAATCTGACTTGTTAGAAATACAGTTCCTAAATAAACAATGGCAGCTTCCAGAAACCCAATTACCGTATAGATTTGGTTTTGGTTGTAAACAGGAATTGAAAAAATGAGCCCACTCTATTTCAGTTTATTTTTTTGGGGGGGGGGGGGGTGAGGGAGTTGTGAGGCTTGAACTCTGGGCCTGGGCGCTGTCCTTCAGCTCTTCAGCTCAAGGCTAGTTGCTCTACCACTTGAGCCATGGCACCACTTCTGATTTTCTGGTGGTTTATTGGCTTTGAACTGTGGCTGGCTTTGAACCATGATCCTCAAGTCTCAGTCTCCTGAGTAGCTAAGATCACAACTGTGAGCCACCAGCACCAGGCTTCAGTGAGTAGTTTTACTGGGACACACAGGCATGCCTGGTATTGCTGAGCTGTCACAGCTGCATCTGAGCGCTAGCCATGGAAAACAGATTGCCCTTAACATCAAAAAAAAAACTGTTATCTTATCTGGCCTTTCCTACAAAGACAGTGACCCCTCACTGTAAAACACTTGGAAGAGCAAAGTGTACTTGGCTGAGGCCAGGCCTGGGCCTCCCAGCCTCTGGCTGGCTCCAGCTGTCCTAGACCAGGTGCTGCTTCAGCTGGTACATGACATTCACAGTCCCCTCCACCCAAGTTTGAATGCAGTGCACCATGCCTGCATAACCCAAGTCCTTTAGCTTTAGTGACTTGGGATGGGGTCTTCTTACTGGGGTAGCAGGCACATGCCACGTCAAGCTTTTGCTTGACACAGGTCTCACAAATTTTTGGCCCAGTAGCCCTCTGGTCAAGATCCTCCCAATCTGTGTCCCAAGTAGGTGGGACTGTCAGTGTTAGCCATCATGCCCAGCCTCTGAGAGGTTTTAAACGTGGATAGAACTTTTGTTTGTGCCCGGGTGCCTTTAGAAACAATGCAGAAGACAATCAGGCCCCAACTTCATCCTTGGCTGCTCTTCCCTTGCTGCTGTGCTGCACCATTTCTGTGTCAGCCACCACAGCTTCTTCGTCAGCAAGTAGGTCCTACTACTAGTCTGCAGGGAAGTGAGAGCCAGCAGGGGGCAGCACAGCACAACAAGAAGGAGGGAAAGAAAGTCCCAGAAGACCAGAGACAGGGATTTACAAAACTAGCCAGGGAACTTGCTGGGAAAGGACAAAGTGTACCAAAACCATTACTTCTAAAAAAGGAATTGGGAAAAATTGTGGCATCTTAAGAGCCCAGGACCTCCTAGGGAAGGCCTCCTTCCATCAACCCGCAGAGGCTCTGGGTCAAGCCTGGGAGAGCTGGCAGGTCCCCATCAGGCAGACAGAAACCCAAGTGTGTAATGCCAGGAGTCCAGGTAGGCGCCCCAAGGACACACCTTGGTTTCCTGATTGTTCTTGTTCTCAATGCCGTAGATCTCCTGCAGCAGGTAGCTGACCCGGTCCACCTGGGGGGGCAGAAAGAAGTGCTGGGCTTGATGTCCCCCATGGAGAACTCCTGGTACCACCTCTGAAGAGTAGGGCTCAGACCCAGGACAGGTGTGGCAGAGAACGGACCAATGCCAGGAGAGGACCAGGGAAACCTGCTATTGGCCAGCCCAGCTCAGGGAGCAGGGCTGGGGGCCCAGCTGTCCCCCTCATCAGGGGGCCTGCACCAAGTTGCTTATCCATCATTCCCACCACCAGCAGGAGTGGCCAGTCCATGTGTGTGCAGCAGACAGTAGCCTGCAAAGCGACCACTTTTCAGAATCACCTTCCAGAGGAGTTAAAAACATCTCTGGTCTCAAAAACACCAATTCCATTTGAATGCAGCGGTAACCTGCCTTCTCATTCACTTCTGATCTGAAGCCTCATGATGACCCTGCTCCAGAGAGGCCTTAGCTTCCAGGTCCTTTAGTTCCAGGGAGCCAGGGCCTCTCTCAAGACAAGCATCACCTGCTGGGGTCTGCTGCCCACCAGCCCCTTCAGAGTCTGGGTCCTCCGGGGTCTTCTCTGTATCAAAAAGCTAGCAAGCTCCAGTCCTGTGCTACAGCACTGGGAAGCTACCCACAGGACATCTGCTAACCACAGCCTTGGAACATGAACCCAAGTATTGCTAAAGTTGGGTCTCAATATCAGGGTCTCAACAGCCCCAGTTAGAGGCCCTCCCCCCGTCACTGAAGCAGAAGGCCTCCAGGAGTAACTTCTCAGTGTAGAACCACATGATTAAGGACCCCAAAGAGAAACCCCATCAGTTACAGACCTCACTCATTCTGGGATTTCCCCTGTGTTCCTTCAATTGAGTCTCTGCCCAGTGCTGTCCCAGCTCTAGCAATGTGAGGGGAAAGGGAGAGGCCAAGGCAGTCTCCTGTATCCTTCCTTGCTCACCACTTGTTCAGCAAATGTTCACCAAGTGCTCAACTGTGTTCCAGGCACCATGGATCAAACTCAAGACTCGGGGCCTACAAGACTGGCTGTGGTACTCAGTGGGTGTGTGGCCCATGCACCCCAAGACTCTGCAGAACAAGGAGCCTAAAGGGAAAGACTCAAGACAACAGGCCCAGGAGGAGCAGCCCATGGAGCCCGGGGACATGAGCACACCCATGCACACATCTTCTCAAACAAGGGGTCACAAAGTCTATGTGCCACTTACAATCTGCTTCTGCTTTAAAGGCTTCACGGAGAAGCTTCCATCCACGTGCTGCAAGGGAAAGACACGAGTCAATATGGTCAGCTGGCTGCTCCAAGCACACCTGCTCTTGCAGCTAGAGGTCTGCCCTGGCCACCCCCATCCACGCTAAAGGAAGGAAGGATCTAGGGACAAGGAGCCTGAGCCCTGGCTTCCAAACGGGCCTGCCAGGCCCTGCCTATCCTACAGAGTCCAACTTTCCCGGGGGCTTCTCAAGCAGGCTCAAGGTGGAACCATCTGGCCAAGCTCCGGGATGGACAGAGCCGCCTGTAGCCAGTGGCAGCAGCTGGCAGCAGCAGCATCATTCAGCCCAGGCGCTTTCTCCCCAACGGCTGGGTCTCATTAGGAAGGTAGCCTGGCACATGGCCACACACACAGGACAGTGTGGGGTGCTGGAAATGCTCAGGGCAAGACAGAGCCATGCGTGTAGTGTGTCAAACTGCGAGAAGATTAGCGAAGGCATTCAATCTGAGATTTGGGAACAATATTAGTCACCCCTTCTGAGTCAACCAAGACCAGGATTATCTGGTAAGGCCAGCGAGGCCTTCTAGAAATTTCGTACTGGGTTCTAAACTGTAAGCCTGGAATGGAATGTGAGCCACGGCCAGCCCACCTGGCTGGGCCAGAACTTGTAGATGTGTGAACAGTAGCCATTTCTCCAACAAGGCCAAGAGTGACCAGCAGCCTGGTGCCAAGAGGGAGGAGACGTGCTCACCAGCACTGGCTGCACCCCTGCCCCAGCCCCAACACAGGATTCACAAGTCAGAGCAGTCTCCACCTGACCCAGCTGTGCAGACCTCCAGGTCACAGAAGCTGGGCTGTTCAGGGGTCACAGGGTAAGGGCCCTGGAACAGGGAGGCCCAGGTGGGGTGGAAATCCACACCAAGCATCCTGAACCCACTCGCTGTAGGGTCCTTGTCTCCTGGTCTACCTAGGGCCCAACCTGGTGCGGAAACACTTCTCTGCTGCAGAGTGCCAGTTGCTTTCAAGGGCCTGAAGGGGAAGGAGGGCATTATGGGTCAGAGACAACATTATCCTTCAGCAAACTCCTCAAGTGAGCCAGGACCTACCTAGGTTTGGGAATGCTGGTACCCACCACTACTCCTGAACCGCGCCCAACTCCGAGGCTGCAATCACGAGCGAGAGGTAAGCTTGGTCTCATGACGTCAAGCAAGTAGGGACAAACTAAGTGCGTGTCCCCAGCAAGTCAGGACACGCCTGCAGGAAACTGCCCAGCACTGCTGGGTCTGGGTGCTGCAGCCAGGTGGAGAAAGGGGCAGTGTAACGCAAGGAGGGAAGTACACTGGGTGGTGCTGCGGCGGGTACTAGGTGGCACAAGCCCACACTCTGGTGCACCCAGCCTGGCGGGATAGGCCCTGGCCTGAGGGGCCTATCATCACTCCAAACATCAGGGAAAACCAATCTATGGCACTGTGAGCCGGCATTCTGGCCTGTGCCGGTGGGTTCCACAGGACTGGTTCTCCCAGGAACTGAGAAATGGTGGTGTCTTCCACAGCCCTGGCTTGCTACTCGAGCCTGCACCAATTGCTAGTCCTTATGCTCAGGCTTCTGGTCTCCAACGGCTGCCCCTGCCCTGGCTCCCAGGCCTCAGGTTTGTGGCCTCTGATGGCGCTTACCTTTTCAAAGGCAGCCAAGAGCACATGAGCATGGCCCGTCACTTCCACAACTGAAGGGGAGACGAGAGAGGAGGGTTGTGAGGGCACAGGAAGCTTGCCAGGCCAGCCTCCTGTCCCAGCCCCTCCAGCAGCAGCTCACCCCCTCCCTATCCTCCAAGCACTCCGCATGGCAACCGCTCGGCCCCACGCCAGCATGTGGGCTGTGGCGACACTCAATAGCACCCAACCAAGGCCAACCGCAGCCGTTTCCGCATCACAGGCCCAGCCACTCAGGAGGAGGACAGCAGAAAAGCCGATGCTCACCATCTCCCTCGTCCACCACAGCTTGGATGACCACTGGAAACACACCCCGGTCCAGGTCGAAGTTCAGCTGAGGAGAGGAGGTGAGAACAATCAGGACACATGGGTGCCAGAGCTGGAGAAGGCTGGTGAACAGGATGGCAGTCGAGCGCAGAGGGCTTGAGCTTAAAATGGTGTCTAGGACACTCAGCATCACACAACCATCACCAGTACCCATTTCCAGAACTGTTTTATCACCCCAAAGAGGAATTCTCCAGGCACAAGGTGGTTAGCGCTGTTCTCAGTCTTAGGTAGTGGGCCAGAGGCAGAGCACAGGGGTCTGCCCTAAGCCCTTAGCATGCCCTCGGTACGCCCTGTAAACCCACATGTGGAAACCACAAAACCCCAGCCAGAAGTGCATCCCAGCTGATCCCAGAGATCCAGGCTCCACATGCATGGGCTTTTTACACTCAGGAATGTAACTCATGCAGAACAGGGAAAATTGGGGGAAGGAGGAGGTTGGTACCAGTCCTGGGACTTGAACTCAAGGCCTGGGTGCTATCCTGTGCTAAAGGCTACCACTTGAGCCACAGCTCCATTTTGGGGGGGGGAAGGGGGTGTTGGTCATGGGGCTTGAACTCTGGGCCTGGGCTCTGTCCCTCAGCTCTTCAGCTCAAGGCTAGTGCTCTACCACTCAAGCCACAGCATCACTTCTGGCTTTTTTCTGCTTATGTCGTGCTGAGGAATCGAACCCAAAGCCTCATGAATGTGAGGCAAGCACTCTACCACTGAGCTACCTTCCCAGCCCCGCATTTCTGTCTTTTTGATAGTTTATTGGTGTTAAGAGTCTCATGGCGTTTCCTGCCCAGGCTGGCTTTGAACTGCGATCCTCAGATTTCAGCCTGAGTTGCCACGATTCCAAGTGTGAGCTACCAGTACCTGGTAAAATGTTTCTTTTTAGGAATTATTGGACTGGGAAGGTAGTTTAATGGTAGAGTACTTGCCTTGCATGCATGAGTTCCTGGGTTCAATTCAATACCACATAAGTAGAAAAAGCCAGAAGTGATGCTGTGGCTCAAGTGGTAGAGCTGAAGAGCTGAGGGACAGCACCCAGGCCCAGAGTTCAGGCCCCACACCAACAGCAACAAAAAAATGTCAAGGGCTGGAATGAAGCTCAGTGGCAAAGTGCTTGTTTTGCAAATGCAATGTCCTGGGTTCAATCCACAGTACCAAAAAGGAAAGAACAAAAACAAAACAAAAAATACAACTGTTAGGTAGGGCTGGGAATGTGGTAGAGTGGTAGAGTGCTTGTCTAGCATACATAAAGCCCTGGGTTCGATTCCTCAGCACCACATAAACAGAAAAAGCTGAATGTGGTGCTGTGGCTTAAGTGGTAGAGTGCTAGCTCTGAGCAAAAAAAAAAAAAAAAAAAAAGCTCAGGGGCTGGGAAGGTGGCTCAGTGGTAGAGCGCTTGCCTTGCATGCATGAGGCCCGGGGTTCAATTCCTCAGCACCACATAAGCAAAAAGAAAAAAAAGCCAGAAGTAGTGCTGTGGCTCACGTGGTAGAGTGCTAGCCTTGAGCTGAAGAGCTGAGGGACAGGGCCCAGGCCCAGAGTTCGGGCCCCACCACCGGACCCCAAAAAAAAAAAAAAAGCTCAGGGACAGTGCCCAGGACCTGAGTTCAAGCCCCAGAACTGGCAAAAGAAAAAAAAGAAAAAGAAAGGAAAAAGAAACTTGTCAAGACGGGAAATTTTCTTCTGGAAACAGTTGAGGAAAAAGGAGTCAAGAGACAGGTAAGGAGGGGGACTGGGAGAAGCAGCCATGAAAAGGTATCCAAATACAGCCAAATGAGATCACGTGCAGCACAGCAAAAAACTCCAACTGCCGTATTGGCTCTGCCTGGCACAGGACTGAAGCAGGGCTTCCTGCTCAGTCAGTGACATGAGCTCATACTTAACCACTCTATGCTCATGGGAAGCTTTGGGAAGCAACCGTTAGAAGGATAAACTAGTAACCCGCCAACCACTGCTCCTTAACAGTCAGTCACCATCATCTCTGACCATCTCTGACCACATGGTGCCCACGAGACAGAGATGGCCTGCTGGAGACTCAGGCTCTGGGGACTACTTAGAAGGAGACAGCCAGCTCTCTCTCCCAGGCTTCCTGCCCTGCTCTGGGGTGACACGCCAAGAAAGAAATCCCCTTGTGAACCTGCTTTAGCATATAGCAGCCACCATCCCAAAGGTACCCCAGTGACAAAAGTGTTGGAGTGAACTGCCCAGGTGACAGGCTAGCTGTGGTAATGGAGACATCCAGGAAGGGCAGAGCTTTGGGACTCTTGATGAAGCACGTGGCACGCTGGGGCACCTCCAAGCCCTGTGCACTGCTCTTGGCTGCTGGGCTGAGCTCGGAACCAAAACCAACCATCTAAGCCCTCAGCACCCCTCCTCTCTCCCACCAGCAGCCCGGGATTACAGAGCCCTCTGAACACCTGCCTGGGCCCCTCGGGACCACTGTCCTCCTGCATACAGTGCCCAGAACCCCCAGTGGGCCTATCTAAGCGGCAAGAACTCAGGAGGAAGAAGGCGGACAAGAAGGAATGTGCGGGACTTACCTCATCATCTTTCCACTCGGAGAAGTCAATCTTGAAGGATGGCAGGGAGAACTGCTGGCTCACGCCCCTCTTGTAGTGCACTGTCTCCGACTGCAGAGCAGAGCTCTTGGGGCTGTACCTGAGGGCAGCAGGGTGGTAAGATGAATGTGTAGGCCTCGCTCGCTCGCAGGCTGGGAGTCTGCCTGCCTCCCTCCCAGCCAGCAGAGCTGCAGCCATGTGTTTTATTTAAAGGATGGAACAGAAGGACCCCAGCCCTCCGGTTGGGGGCAGATAGGACCTTCCTGGCCAAGCTGCTTCGCTTCTCTGCTTGGCACACAGCTCTGCCCAGCGATGCCTGGTAACAATTTTCCTGAGCCCACCTGGCATAAGACCTCTGCTACTGTCCCAGCCAAGGGACACCTGCCCAATGGGCATTTGCTCTGCTTACTTTTTCTGAAAGAACATGGTACAGAAGACTCCTTCCTGCCCTGCACCCCATCTGCCTCCCAGGGCACAGGTATGGCTCCTGGGACCCACCACATTTTTGTGTCTGCTTGGGATGGGGTCTCCTCATCCACCTCCATAAGCTGCCAACCTGCACCCTCTTTCCAGCTCTGAAGCTGTCCCACCACCCTGAGGAGATGCTAAGTTCCATGAGTCGCTCAGAGTGGCCTCCACTACCTTCCAGGTCCACCCTTCTGTCCATGTACAAGCACGCCTGAGGCAGATTTCTTAAGAGAAAGACTGGGCTAGGAGCACACCATTTGCAGCCTTGATAAACTGTCGTTTCCCACTGAGGAATCCAACGACACTCTACGCAAGCCTCCCCCTCCCTGTGCCCTGCCCCACACTCACAGTCCTGGGGCCTCCCTGTGACAGAGGACACGCATGGGAGCCTGGGCAGCTGGGGGAGGGGAGGTTGCTGCTGTGGTCAGTGTGGGAGCTCCACAAGAGGCAGGCTGCCCGGAAGATGCCTGCAACAGCGCAGGCTCTTTTTCTAGCTGTGAGGTGCTGCATTTACCTCTGGAGCCTGCTTCCTGGCTGGGAGGCAGGGAAGGTCAGGGAAGGAGGAGAAGGACAGAGCAGCCTGGCTGGTGGGTCCATGTCCCCAGGCTCGGCCTCCAGCATGTAGAGCTTCCCTGTTTCTCTGCCTGAGGACTCGTTTCTGATACCAGAGGAGCCAGCAAACCAGGAGGGGAACAGGCCTTAGAAGGGAGCAGAGTGGCAGGTTCTGGGACACAGCCCAGGAGCAGACAACTGTGGTTGTCTCCCTCTGCTTTTCCAGCCCTTGTGGTGGCAATAGGACTGGTTTTTTTTTGTTTTTTTGGGTCCGGTTGTAGGGCCTTGAACTCTGGGCCTGGGTGCTGTCCCAGGGCGTCTAGTGGCCTTGCCTGGTAGCATGGTTCCTAGGAAGCGCCACCTCTAGGCGAAGTAGACGTCCTGGTGTGAGAAGCTGTGTGAGGAGTGTGCCAACCACGAGGGCAAAGCCTGAACCATCCTCATGACACAGCAGTGAGCCGGGCCGCCCTCGGTCTCCACCACGTCCAGACCCAAACCTGCCTTCCCACAGGTCTTACCCAAGAAAGGAGAGATGTGGGCCATCTCTGCCCATCCCCAAGGTCACACGGGCCAAGGCTGGCCTTGCTGCTGGAGCAGCCTTGTCATCTCATCGAGAAGCTGCAGCTAAAAACATCTGGGAGTAGCAGAACTCTTTTTTTTTTTTTTTTTTTTTGATTGGTTGTGGGGCTTGAACTCGACCTGGATGATGGCCCTCAGCTCAAGGCTAGTACTCTCCACTTGAGCCATAGCAACACTTCTGATTTCTGGTGGTTAACTGGAGATGAGTCTTAGGGACTTTCCTGGCCCAGCTGGCTTTGAACTGCGTTCCTCAGTGCTCAACCTCTTGCGTAGCTAGGATTACAGGCACTGAGTCACTGGCACCGAGCAGAATCTACATGTTTTTTTTTTTGGTCAATCATGGGGCTTGAACTCTGGGCCTGGGCGTTGTTCCTGTGCACTTCAGCTCAAAGCGAGCGCTCTACCACTTGAGCCACAGTGTGAATTCTGGTTTTCTAGTGATTTATTGAAGATAAGAGTCTCACAGACTTTCCTGCCTGGGCTGGCTTTGAACCGTGATCCTCAGATCTCAACATCCTGAGTAGCTAGGATTAAAGGCATGAGCCCCAGCACCCAGCTTAAATGCACTTTTTTTTTTGGGGGGGGGTGGTCATGGGGCTTGAACTTGGAGCCTGGGTGCTGTGAGATTTTCTGCTCAAACCTAGCACTTTTCCACTTGAGCCACAGCACCACTTCCAGCTTTTTCTGCTTATGTAGTACCGAGGAATCTGTTTATGTAGTACCAGGGCTTCATGCATGCTAGGCAATCACTCTACTACTAAACCACCTTCCCAGCCCAGAACTCTTACTTTAAGTAAAATCTCTAAAAGCTCAAATTTGGAACTATGACATGATAAAAAGAAAATACACATTTGGTCTCTGCCCTAGGTTGCCTATATATCTTGAGACTTAGCTCTACTGTGACTTCCAGGGCAACGAGAGCATCTCTGTCCAATGGACTGATGGGAGACTGGCCAGCAGAAAGACCTTCCAGTCTCATGTCTCCTCCAGAAGGGGGATTGTGTTAATGATCTATGTAACCTCCGTAAGAACTCAAAGGGCAGGGGTAGGGGTAGCTCAGAGGTGGATCACCGTCCAGCACCAGCAAACCCTGTGTTCCATCACCAGCACCACAAAGAAAGGAAGGAAGAAGCATGAGGTACTGAGAGCACATAGGCAGCAAGCACACAGCGATGCAGACGGGGCTCACACTGCGGTGCCGTTCAGGAACTCCTCCACTGCCTGGCAGTAGATGGTGATGGCCACGCGTGCATCCGCGTCGAAAGTGAACTCCAGGCTGTAGAGCACCCGGGGCTTCTCACCATCCTCGGTGGGGCTGTCAGCATCGTCTTTATACCTGGCCAAGGAGGGAAGAAGGCACAGGTCAGGGACGACAGCCTGCTGGGGCTGGCCCGCCAACACACCTCAGGCCAGTCGATGCTCAGACAGGTCCACTCCGCTGGCAAGCTCAGAGGCCTGTTCCCTGCTTGTACAATAAGGCCCATCTCTGACGAACTGCTCCCCCACGTTAGGTTGGGGACTGCTCCCCTTGTCAGCTTGTGGAAAGAGGGGTAAGTCTTCCTGGTTTAGGACAGCCTAGTGCCTCAGTCTGCTGTCTAGAGCAGCAGCAGCAGCAGCAGGTGCTGACCCCTGCGCTGGACCATCCCTGGCTGAGGGGCATCCTGCGTTCCAGGGGAACTGACCAGCTCCTGGGCCTCTGCACATTGGATCCTGAGGCACCAAGCTGCTAGTGGTCTCCAGACACTGCCCAGTGTCCCTGAGGGATAACCAGTCATAGGAGAATCTGGTTTGAAGGACTAACTTCTGACCCTACACAGGAGGAGGGACTGGCCCCCTCCACACTGCCCCCCTTCCCGAACCTCCACTGTGCCTCTGTGCCACCACAGGTCCTCTGACACCCCCGCAGGCAGGACGAGGGTTACCTCACAAGCCGGAGGGAGTCCTTGCGGATGTTCACCAGGCTCCTCAGTGTCTTCACCGGCTCGTGGGGGGCAGGGGTAACGTAGGGAAACTAGGAAGAAAAAATGCACAGCCATTTGGAAGGCTGGGGAACAGTGGTCCTAACTCTGCAGGGTTCCTGAGTTCCCCGAGTGAAGGGCTGTGCTGGACACTGGGTAGATATCTTGTGTTAACTCTAGATTACACTAAAGAAACCACAGCCACGCAGCCAGTGCATGGCTAGGATCAATACCGCCCTGAGTGATGTGACCACAGCCCCCAATTCCAGGAAGGACCCTGAGCAACTCCACAATCTCCAGAGATCCCAGAGGGAAGCAGACAAGGCTGGCCTCATGGGCAGTCAAGTCACACAGTCCACAGGATTTGGGAAGGTGGTTAGAACGCACACGTGTAAATATGGAAGACATGGCTGTGTCCCTGTCCGTGTCCGTGTCCTGCCTGTGATATTATGTGTGCTGGTCATTCTGTGAGCCAGTCATATGTTGTTTCATATCACTAGAGACACTGAGGCACCAAGTGGCTCTGGGCCATTCTCCAAAACTGCAGATGGATCCTCAGTGCTTCCAAGTAAGGAAATAAAAATAGTGGGCACTGACAGGCATCCGTGGCTCACGCCTGTAATCTTAGCTACTCAGGAGGCTGAGCTCTGAGGATCAGGGTCAAAGCCAGCTCAGGCAGGAAAATCCACAAGCCTCGTATTTCCAAATAACCAGCAAAAAAAAAAACCCCAGAAGTGGAGCCATGGCTCAAGGGGTAGAGCATGAGCCTAAGGAAAAAGGTTCAGAGACAATGCCCAGGCCCGGAGTTCAAGCCCCAGGACCAGCATGCACATGTGCAAACAGTTGGGCATAGATGGGTGCTGATGGCCAGATGTGAGCCATCTGTAATCTTAGCTACTCAGGATGCTGAGTTAGGGAACAGGATCAGGACAGCCTAGGCAAAAAAAAAAGTCTCTATCTCCATGGAAGAAGCTGGGCATGATGGTGCATACCTGTTGTCCCAGGTAGGACATGAAGCATAAAATAGAAGGGTAATAAAGCCCCGATGAAAAGTGAGATCCTATCTCTTAGTAACCAGTGTAAAAAAGAGCTGGAAGCATTGCTCCATACAGAGCATCTGCCTAGCAACAGTGTGGCACTGAGTTCAAACCTCAGTACAAGGGAGGGGGCAGAGGGAAGAGAGGAGAAAGGACAAAGGGGAAAGGAGACTTGCAGGTGGCCTTGTGTACCAGTCCTGAGGCTGAGGCCACAAATATTTCAAACACATCCTTTCTGACCTGTCCCTGCTGGCCCAGAACTTAGCCCCAGCTTTGGCCTGCAGGCGTTCAGCGCGCCAAGGCTTCAGGTCAACCAGCAGCTCCATGGCCAAACCAACCTGGAAACCCCTGGTGGGAAGGACATCGCCAGGCCCAAAGGATGCCCAGCTGCAGCAGCCTTGGGGAACCATGATCCCTGTCTACTTAGGGCCTTCTGCCCGCCTACTCCATTTCAAAACCCAAACCTGGGGTTTTCTTCCTGGCCTCAGCTCCTCTCCATCCAACCCCTTCCCCAGCCATCATGCCCAGCTCTGGCAGACCTCACCAGCCTGGCCCTCCAGACTTTACTTCTGCCTCTCAAGCCCCCTTCCTCTTGCACGCTAGTGTGCTTCCCCTTACACCTTCCCCAGGAGCCCACAGCTCCTTCCTCCTCTCCTTGGCCAAACCTGCTTTGTACTCAGACATTTCCACAATCCACCCCAATAATGCCTCTCATGCCTCTGGGGTTGGGCCGCCAGTCTCTGCCTGGGGCTTGCTGCAGGCCTTCTTGGCCACTCAGGGTCTGTGCCACCTCCTCCTCTACCCTCTGCCCACCTGGCTGGCACTCACACTTGCTGGAAGCCTGGTATAGCTGTCCTGGTCTCTCTGCCTTCCTGCTTTTCCTGGGGGGGTCAGGGAGTTGAACTTGCTTTCCAAACAGACACTCTACCCTTGACGGGGTACCGTCTACCCTGTCAGCTGTGTTTTGCATTATTTTTTAGATAGGATCTTGCTTTCTGCCAGGCATGACCTGAACTGTGCTCTTCCTATTTTAGGCTCCTCATCCTACCTAGGATAACAGGCACACATGAGCACACCAGCTGCTTCTGCTGAGTCAAGTCCAGTAGACTTTTCTGCCTGAGCTGGTCTAAAACAATGATCCTCTCAGTCTCATCCTTCCACATACCTAGGATTACAGGTGTGAGCCACTGCACCCAGCTACTGGTTGAGAAGGGACCTTGCATGTATGCACAAGCTAGCCTTAAACCCCAATCCTATCTCAGCCTCCCACATAACTAGCATTGTAAGTCACTAGGATCTAGCTCTCTTTGCTTTTCAAAGAGATATCCAAGAATGAATACATTCAAAGTAGAGTGTTTGTATGTATAAAAATAGAACTTGTTTGAAATTATTCTTGGAAAGGGGAAGGGGAAAGCAAACAGAGGCGGCGAGACTGACTGGAATACACTGTAGAAAGGAAATGTCACAACCATCATCTCTCTTAGCCCCCCACCCCCGCCCCAATAATGTACACTAATAAAAATTTTTAAGTCATCCAAGAGTCTTGGATGCAGCCCAGATACAGCAGGGCCACCATGGTTGCTCTGTCCCTCTGTGACCCACTCTGGCCATCTGGTCTCATAGAGACAGTGCCAGGACACACCCCATTCCAAGTCACGTGCCCGGTTCTGGCTCTGCTCGGCGGCATGCCTGCCAGAAGCTCTGCCCCATGTAAGGGATATGGTGTCTGCTCATCCTCACAGATGACAATCCCTTCCCTGGCCCCGCCCAGACCTACCTGGACAGGGCGGCTGCCCAGGAAGTTCAAATCCATGTTCTCTCCAAACAGGTAACCTTCAGGGTGAGGGGTGTCAAATTTCTCACCTCCCATGAAAAAGTGTGAAGCAAAGTAGTTGCCTGTTTAAAAAAAGAAGTCCAGTTGTAGACCAGGAGACACAGTTGTTGACTATGAGGCTTGACACAGGCCAGTAGGAATATCTGATGGCCAAGAAGCCCAGCCTCGAGAAAGGCTCCATTTTGAGAGCAGCTGCAGGGCCCAGACCCAAGGCTCCTGTCCCTTTGGCTCTGTGCTCCCATCACGCCAGCCTCGGCCCTTCCAGACACCCTGCCTGCTCCCTCTGCCCACTGCCATGCTCCACACCCGGCCTGCGCCCTGCTTACAGACTCACCTTCCAGTTCTCAATATGGTCATTTCCAAAAGAGAGTTAATTGTGTCCCCACAAAGATGTGTTCAAGTCCTACCACCATACCCTAGACGACAGGCAGGGTCCTAACCTCAATTCTAACCTACCATGTGGGCCAGAAGCCAGACAGAAAAATGCAGCAAGACAGAAAGACTAAGTTAAAAAGGTAACACAGGTGAGCAAAGGATGCTTCCCAACTCTCCTGCTGTTCACACACAGCCCCTTGCAGTGACACATCAGTGTACTTTGGCACTCAGCCTCAATGGTGACATCCCCCACATCTCCACACTGCTGTGGGGCACCAGCAGTGTGACCCTCTCTCTGGACCCCAGCTTCCAATCTTAGTAGGTCTATGGCCCACCTCATGCCAGTCAGAACCATGGGGCAAAGGAGTGGTGTTTTAGGCTAGGGGCTTCAGGGCACTCCCTGCCTAAAGCCAGCCTGATCTGCCTCAAAGTGAGGTGTGTGGAGCGTGACTACTGGGAAGCCCGCCTGCGCTAAGCGCATAGATGCAGGGGGGGGGGGGGGCGGGGGGGTGACTCCACATACGGGCAGTGACCCCACCGGGCAGAAGTGTGTTGGGCAAGGATTCAGTGAGGGCAGACAGCCCCGGGTAGGGGAAGCTCAGGGAGCAGCAGGTGGGCACAGGATCCAGGCCTCCCCTGGACCAATGAGCTGGGCCATCCCAAGATCCCAGGTAGGAGCTGGGTCCTTGGGCCCACAGCCTCCTGTTCCAACCTTCTCCTGGGGAACCTTGCAGGCATGACCACCATGGGGGGAAAAAAAAACCTGGGAGCAGAAAGCTTCCAAGATGGCTCCAGAGAGCCCTGCCTCTGGCAAAATCCCACGTAGAATAGACTGCCAACAAGGAGCCAGGACGCCGTATGGAGACAGGAAGTGACTTTCAGAGCTCTGGGAAAAGCAGCTGCCACACTGAAGACTTGGGAACTGCCCCTGGAGGCAAGGTGGTGAGGATCAGAGGGTCCTGCCAACAGCCCACCTGACCTGCGGGCACGTGGACAGGCCTCGAGTTGCTCAGGGCCAGCCTCAGTCTGAAGGCTGGCTCTCAAGATCCGGAGCAGAACAACCTGCCAAGCCACTCCCACTGCCGCGGCCCCGCTGAGACCAGACAGAAAACACTGGAGGGCTGGGAAGGTGGCTCAGTGGTAGAGCGCTTGCCTTGCATGCATGAGGCCCTGGGTTCGATTCCTCAGCACCACATAAGCAAAAAAGAAAAAAGCCGGAAGTGGCGCTGTGGCTCAAGTGGTAGAGCACTAGCCTTGAGCTGAAGAGCTGAGGGACAGCGTCCAGGCCCAGAGTTCAGGCCCCACGACCGGACCCCCCAACCCTAAAAAAAAAGAAAACACTGGAATGTTGCTTAACTTTGAATAATCTGTTGCCCTGAAAGATAATGATGTGGTTAACACATCTCCATGGGCTCCTGAGTCCCCACCCTCGGGAAAGCCACCACCGCTCCTGTCTCCCAGGCTCCACATGCCCACCTCCTCCCAGCACTTTCCCATCAGTGATAAGCCCCCCCAACACATACTGCAACCTGCACAACAGCCTGCCAACCCCACGCATGCCTCAGGACCTTTGTACTTGCTTCCCTTTGCTTATGTGGTCTGTTCCACAAACTTTGCCTGAGTCCTCTCACATTTTGTCCCCTCCAGGAGCACTTCTCTTCCCTCTCTTCCCGCCTCTCCCTCTCCCTTCTCTCTTTCCCTGCTCCTCCCCACACCCCTCCCCCTTGGGCTGGCTCCTTCGCTACCATGCTGGGGCAGACACCAAAGGCTCCAAGGCCCTGACACTCAGGCATCACATTTAAGTGACTGAATGATGGGTTAGTGCTTCTTTTCTATTTTGTAGATTTTCTACTATCACCATATAGGTGTTAAAGTTACTTTTACAAGAGATGTTTGTTACAGAAGCAGGTCTAAAAGCCCCACACTGGAAGCCTGTTCTAGAAGTGAAATGGAGAGGACCACGTGGGGCAGGAGGAGGGGCCAGGCTGTTCCTTTTCCTCAGGAAAAAAAAAAAAAAAAGATAAGGCAAAATGAAGTCTTCACAAGTGTGTTATATTACTATACTTTTCTTTTTTCTTTTTTTTTTTCTTGTCGGTCATGGGGCTTGAACTCTGGGCTTGGGCGCTGTCCCTCAGCTCTTCAGCTCAAGGCTAGCGCTCTACTGCTTAAGGCACAGCACCACTTCTGGTTTTCCGGTGGTTTACTGGAGATAAGAGTCTCACGGACTTTTCTGCCAGGGCTGGCTTTGAACTATGATCCTCAGATCTCAGCCTCCTCAGTAGCTAGGATTACAGGCGTGAGCCACTGGTCTATGTTATTTTTAAGTGCTGTTGGTTTTGAGGTTGGGTCTCACTGCATAGTCCAGACTGGATTCAAACTCCTGCTCTATCTCAATATTCCGACAGCCAGGATCATAGGCATATACTGTCACACTTGGTTTAAAGACAAACTTTTTTGTGGGGCGGGGAGGGGAGTGATTACTGGGGTTTGAATTCAAGGCCTTCCACTTGTTAAGCAAGTACCCTACCACTTGAACCACACCCCCAGCCTTAAAGAAGAATATTTACGGAAGAAACAGGGACTCACAGGTAGTTCAGGAGTAGAGTACTGGCCTACTACATGCAAGGCAAGCACTAATAGCAGCACTGAAATAAAAAAAGAGAAGGAAGAAATCAGGGGAACTGATAGCAGGTGTGTTGTGTGTGCTTATAGGTGTGAATGCACACAAACATGTGTTCTAAATATGCAGACAGTCCCGTGTCTGTGTGGTGTATATGGGTATACAGCACCTCTGTGTGGTGTGTATGGGTGTGTGTGTGTGTGCGTGTGCATGTGCGTGTGTGTGTGTGTGGTCTGTACATGCATGCACACACCTTGCTACCAAGAAGAGGAAGTGGCATTGCCAGGAGAGAGGGAGGGAGAGGGAAAAAGGCCAGTGTGAAGAGGGATGACAGCAAGCAGCCACATCTGCGGCTCTTCTACCACACTGCAGGCCACAGCCCCACTCAGTCTCCTCAGTGACCCCCAGAGAGGAACTGAGCTATGAGGTTAGTGGAGCTGGGACTCAACACCAACTTGGTGATTTCATCCCCATACCCAGCCCCTCCCCTCCCACAACTCAGGGGACAGTGTCAGTGATCTCACTACCAATAACAATGGGCAGCTGTTCACACAGTCACAGGGAAAGGCCTTCCCCATCAGAACTGCTGAAAATCCTTCTGCAGCCACACTCAGAGGCCTGGGTTGGCCTAGAACTCCCAGCCACATGGCACCAACATACTAGGACCTAGCCCTGGGGTCAGTCAGTCCTCAGATGTCATGGCTAGAACAAACCCCTTCATTGCCCCTAGTTTACGGTCTACAACCAAAGGTGACAAGCTCAGGTGGCTCCCGTCCTTGCTGCTTATAGATGGACTGGATGACGTGAATAATGAGACGAACAGCTGTGAAGAGACCAGAAATCCCTTATTCAAATACATCAGGACACAGAACACATGCACAGATAAGAAAAACCAGAGCTGCAAGGCCCTAGGTCATTGGTCACAGGAATGGCCAGCAGAAAGGAGGGTGCTGTCCTTCTGCATAGGCCAGACTGAACTACATGTCCTCAGCATGTACCTGTGCTCAATGATCACTGTCTCTGTAGCATCAGAATAGGAATGCTCTACAGTTCGCAGGAGTGGTTATAACTGCCAAAGCAGTGAGGTACTGGACAGAGCTCATCCACAGATCACAAGGTGGGTGCACACCTGGCATGCCAACTACTCGGGAAGCTGAGGCAGGAAAATCACGTGACCCTAGGAAGCTCCCAATCTGGACAACACAGACAAATGTCAACTCAAAAACAAACGCAAAACATCCATCAATACTGGAAGGATCCACAGTAAATCTGTCAGGAAATCTTGGATGAGAGCAGGAAAGGTGGGAAGTGTGAAACAGGTCTTCAACATTTTCCCAATTACACTGTCTGATTTAGCTACACCTTAATTTTTTAAACATCTAGATGTTAAGAGAACAGTTTGGAACCCGCTGAGTCAAAAGTATTTAGTCTGGATCCTTGAGAAGCATTTGTGCCCGCGCGTATCAAGCCCCCGGACAGCCCAATAGCCAACAGGCTGGCCTTGGATCTCATCCGAAGACAACACCTCCACTCTGGAGGCCACACATGGACCCTCTGCAGACATTCCTCATTCTCCCAAGAGTAAGGGCAGAACACACATCAGCGTGATGGATGTTCTAGTCCCCGTAAAGCAACCTACCCAAGCAACATGGGCTCCGAGTGCCTGACTGGGCTACCGCACATTTCAGAGGTCCCAGGGAACTCAGGCCCCTCCTTCTCGGGCACCCCACCCTGCAAACCAGAGGTGCCACTCAGCACTGCCCACCCTGCCTTGCACCTGCCTCCCCATCCACTTACCGGAGCCTGAGTACTTTCCTCTTTCTCTGAGGCCCAACAAGCTGCTCCTGTCTTGGGACTTCCCAGGTGAGGCCATCTGCCCACTCACTGCCAAATCCTTCCACACCAACACTGAGTCACGGCATGGTTCTGCTCCTCCTCACCTCCTGGTTGGTTTATATTGTCCTCCCTCTGCCCAAAGCCAGATACCACATACAACAGATCACCACCCTGCCTCCCTATGACTACCAGCAGGGAGAGTTCAACACACATCCACCAGGCTAGAAAGGT